CTGTCCTCTGAAGTGAATTGTTCTGGGGGGACTTTTTTTTTTTTACATATGTATCTTTTCTTCAATATAGCTAGTTGTAGGCACCGAATATTTTCCCAAATCACATCAGCTTTCCTTTCATCTAACTTACTTGGAAATGTAGCAAATCCTTCATGTATCCCGGGGAATTCTATAACAAACCCAAAATATCGTTTGCATATGGGGAGGGCACTTTTGTTTTAATCATTCTTACATAAGAAGCTCTCCTTAACCATTACTGGCTCGGGAATGTTGCCCAATGCAATTAAACTAAATAATACATAAATAAAAATAAATAAATCAAACCCACCGACTCATATTGGTCCCATATAGGGTTTCTAAAGCAGTAAATCTTACAGGAACAGGTAGTCTCATCTTGCTTCAGCAGATTGGCTGATGGGTTTAAACTGCCAGCCTTGTGATTAGCAGTCTGATCCTTACCCAACAGCACCACCAGGATTCCTGAGTTATTGAAGTCGTCGTTGTTGTTGTTGTTGTTGTTAGTGCTGTGGAGTCATTTGGAGTCATGGTGACAGTGTATACAATAGAACAAAATACCACGCAGTCCTGTGCCATTCTCATAATAGCTAAATTTGAACCCATTATAACAGCCACCAAGTCCTCCTCTTTTCCACTGTCTACCAAGCATGATGTCCTTTTCCAGGGACTGATCTCTCTTGAGGAACCCTGCTGGAGTAGTGGTTACTTGTTGAGCTGAAGCCTGCAGTTCTAAACCACCAGCTGCTCTGTGCTATTGACTCAATAGCAGTGAGTTTGGATTTTGGTTTGGGTCTCTCTTGATAATATGTCCAAGGTTACATGAGAGGAAGCCTCACCCTCCTTGATTTAAAGGCACATTCTTCCAAGACAGATTTGTTTTTCCTTTTGACAATCCACAGAATTTTTAATATTCGTTACCAAGACCATAATTAAAATGCTTAAATTCTTCTGCATTGTTCCTTATTCATTATCCATCTTTCATATGCATATAAAGTGATTAATGAAAATGAAGCAAAATTTTAAATGTTGTTTGTATATAATATTATAACCCTGGGAAAAAAACCCAAGAGAATCACCTGGAAAATTACTGTGATTAATGGGATTTCAATATGATGGCTAGTTATAAAATAGCAACACAAAAAGTAATGGTTTATACAGGAGAAAAGACTTGACCTGCTCCTACAGGAAACCCTCTGGAGCAGTTCTGCTCTCTTCTGTGGGGTTCCTGTGCGTACACAACAGCAGCGGGTTCTGTAAGGAGAAAAGTAGCACTCTGGGTAATATTTATGGAAGGCAGATTAAAACACGTTGGTGGAGATTTTTAAATTAGCTTGTATCTGAAGTACCTTAAGTAGACTTAATGTACTCTCCTACTAATGCCTTAAACATCATTTGTTAGGCATTAAAAATATATATACCACCCAAAATAGCACACCATAGTTGTAAAGGTAACCAAACGTTGGACTGTTTACTTTTTACCCATTTCAGTAAATTTTTATAACCTGAGAAAAATGACATGATAGTTTACCAAAATGTTTTTGTTGGCATTCTTTAAAATGAATGACCCAGCCATCTGGCTCTCCAGGGACTATACTAACAATCTTATCATCTGTCAGTAAGTTGCAATCCATTTTGAATATGACACTTTCCTTGTTAACTTTTAAAAATGATTTTGACATAAAATTATGGTCGTGAAAAAATATGTAATTATAGTATACAATAACATCACCACTAACTGCATTGCTTTATTTGAGGAACTTTTAAAAATTATTTTTATTTCCATTGGCTGTAGATCAATTCCATGCATGAAGTTAGACTACTAATATAATAACATCCAAGCATGTAGTTGTGAATAATTATTAAATATGAATTAAATTTCATCCCAGTTTTTTTT